ACTCTGGCTGTGGGAGCGCAAGCAGCCACTCCTGCCACTGAGGTGTCACTGGCAGGAGCTTGGCCAAAGTCCTGGTTGATCCAACCTGGGAAGCTGGAACCGCAGGAACTACGATCCTACGATCCTAGCTTCAAGCCGAAGCTGCCCCTCAGCGCAGGAGCACTCCTGTTCCTGCTGAAGAGGAACTCCTGTTGCTGCCATCCCAGGGGTTTTCGTCCACGGCATACCAGAAGGAAAAGGATCAATCGAAGGGGACAACTCCGGAGACTGGAAGTTCCAGTCCACAGTCCCTCGCTTGAGCAGCTGAAGAAGTCTGGGAAATTGGAGGTAAAAGAGATGGTTCCCATCGCCCAGGATGTGTGCGCCATGGGGGGAATGCCAAGGGCTACCCATCTCTTCCCCCCCTCGCTGGAGTCCCAGCCTGACTGCAGGAGCCCGTGCTGCCTCACCTATTCCCCAGCCAGCTGTGATGTCCAGCCCTGTATCCCAACCAAGCCCACTGCTGCGGGTTCAGGTTGCCAGTCCAGGAGTCCAGCCAAGGGAAGTCCGAAGTCCCAAGAGAAGCAACTCAGAAGCAAGTACAGGCGGCCCCACCATGATTTGAGCTGCCTCCCATCAAGCTCACCTTTGATGGGGACCCCGAGAAGGTATCCTTCCTGAATCCAGTGTGGGCTCATCTAGATCGCTACGCTTATGTCTACCTGGATGATGCTCAGATGGTGAATGTTGTGGCAGCCAATTTGGAGGGGGACGCGGCCGACTGGGTGACCAATCTCCATGATGAAGGGGCTCCTGAGCTGCAGAATGCTAACCTATTCATGGAGCAACTGAGAGGTCGTTTTGAAGATGAATCCCAGGCCCTGTTGGCTGAGAAAGAGATCTATCGTCTGAAGCAAAAAGGCTGCCCCACTAAGGAATACATTTGTGAATTGCTGGTCGGCTAGGACAGTGGTCGGAACGATCATTGATCAACTACTTCAAGCAGGAGCTAGACCGCAACCTACTCCAAGCCATCATTTGGGGCTTTCCTAACCAATTGCAGAAGCACACTGGCTGCCTCTGTTAAGCCACAAAAAGCCCCCAGAGGAGGAAGGGAAAAGACAAACTGGGCACGACAGGACCCAGCTGTTGAACACCCCCTTCTGCTGAGCCCGAGGCAAGAGCCCTGCCAGAGCCATTACAAATGCCGGTGCCCTATTACAGTGATGAGGAAAGTGAGGAGGATCTGATGGTATGTCAACCCATCCCATCTTTTGCCATCCCCAAGATAATAGTACCCAAAATTGGGGCCCAAATGAACTTAAATGTGTTAATAGACTCTGTTGCACCAGGTGCCTAATTAATCTACCCCACAGTGCTCAAGCTGGGGATTCGGGCAAGGCTATTACCCCTAGCCATGAGATTTGAACAAGCTAACAGGTCCCTTATCGGCGGTACATCTGCTACGCACCTAACAGAACCAGTGCAATTGGAAATGGATCGGCATTGGGGGAACATTCATTTTGTGGTGGTCCCAAAAATGTTTGAGGCTGTAATTTTGGGTCTGTCCTGGCTTGACAAGTGGCACCCAACCATCTGGTGGGAGAATGGAGTGAGGAATTAAGATTGGGGATAGGTCCCTTCCCCCCTGCCACCACAAGTGATACAAAGTACTATAAATGAAACTCAGGAAGAACACCTTGAAACACTAAAGGCTGTTGTAGAGAAGCTGCCAGGAATCCAGCTTGTCCCAACCAAATACCATGAGTTAGTCGAGGCGTTTAGTCACAAAGAATGCGACGTTCTCCCCCTCACCCGGCTATGGACTGTGCCATTGAAATCTTACCCAGGGCCAAGCTCCCAAAACCAAAAATATACTCCATGACGCCCAGAGAGATGGAGTTAAGGGAGTACATTGATAAGAACCTGGCTCAGGGTTTCATCCAACCAGCAAAATCTTGTGTAGCAGCCCCTGTATTGTTCAAAGAAAAGAAAGATGGGTCGCTGAGATTATGCATGAATTTTAAAAGGTTAAATGCTATCAGCCTACAGAACATGTACCCCTTCCCCTTAATGAAGGACATGTTAGGCCACCTGGTAAAGGAGAAAGTTTTTACCAATGGAAAACCGCCTTAAATTGCTCCCTGGAAAGCTTCCAATTTAAATTGATGCCTTTTGGACTACAAGGAGCTTCTGCTGTGTTTATGCAATTAATCAACCAGGTGCTACATGATCATCTGTATAAGGAGGTTTTGGTTTATCTTGATGACATTCTCATTTACACTGAAACTATGGAAGAGCACATTAAATTGGTCCACGAAGTACTGAGGAAACTGCTGAAGGCTAAACTGTATGCAAAGCTTTCTAAATGTGAGTTTCACCAGACATGCCTTGACTATCTAGGGTACCAAATTTCATGACATTCTTTGAGGATGTCTTCCGGCCAGTCAAGGAGGCGTGCTAAATCCCGGACTAAGAAAGGAGACCATGCGCTGGGGGGGGATTTCTCTCCTCCTGGTACAACTCCCCTTCTTTTAGGGGACAGCATGTCACATCCGTCGGAACACTGCCATTTCGTGGGGAGGGAGGACGGTTACTTGGGAATTGAAGAATGTAATGCTTTCATTTTGATGTATCTGTATGGGAATTAGGGAGCTGGGAATGGGCCATCTGGATGGGCTCCTTTCCGGCTAATCCCTGCTTGTTACCAAAGTCATGGTCCCAGAGAACGACTTATCACCTTCTCATCTCCGAGTTCTCAAAACACCTTCACACAGTGGGTTGGCTCCTGATGGACCGGGTTATTGGGGTGGGGTTTGAACAATGGGAAATTAGTTTAATAATTCACGCGGGAACTTCAGATTCCACCTGGCTCCTCTGCAATCACTAAGGCAGGACCTGAGCTCAGTCTTTTGCTTTCTAGCCTGGTGCCTTAAACAGTGGACCAAACTGGCTCCTATATATCCTATAGGACAGTGGTGGCGAACCTATGGCACGGGTGCCAGAGGCGGCACTCAGAGCCCTTTCTGTGGGCACGCGCGCCCTCGCCCCAGTCCTAGGCCTTCAGCTGGGTTTTATAAATCCTTTTCGCTTTAGGCCTCCGCTGCCGTGTGCAAAAAAAAAAAAGGTTCAATCAGTCAATTTCAACTTCTCGCGGGAAAAAAAAAGATCTTGCAAAGTTGGAATTGATTGATTGAACTTTTTAATATCACCCAGTCTGCCGTTACCACTGCAGCCACGCCCACCCAATGGGCCACACCCACCCAATGGGCCACACCCACCCAATGGGCCACACCCACCCGGCACTTGATGATGCATAAATGGGTTTTGGGTTGCAGTTTGGGCACTCGGTCTCTAAAAGGTTTGCCATCACTGCTATAGGATATATTATCCTCTAATGTCAGTTTTGCTACCTTACTTTAATCCAACCCATGTTTTTGTCTAAATTTTATTTTTATAGTAATAAAAATATGTGCTAGGCTTTTTACAAGAGTCGAATGAATTACATTTTTCCAAAGTGTTTTATAAACAATAAAAGAAAACCTGCCTGGAAAAAAGCTATTACTAATTTAGGTTTTATACAGTACAATACTGTGCTGCTATTTTTGGTAGTAATAAGGCTGTAAAAAGCGTAAGAAAAAGATGTTTGTGCTCTATCACAAACAAAACACCCCTCCTTGAACAACAAAACCAGCTGCATCTTTTGAGAGGCTCATGGGGGTTGCAACTGCAGCTATCTCTGCGTGGACTTAGTTTTGCTGGCAAAGCATCTCTTTGGAATGCTTTGCACAGCCATATGTTGTTGTGATAAATGTTGAGGCATACAGGTATCCACACCTGAAGTAAACTCTTAGTCAGAGATTTGAGAGCCTGTATTTTTTTTTCCAGAATTGGGAGGAGCACACATATAACATGTAAATAAAAATCTAAAAATATTAATGAAAAAGGACTTGTTTTTTGTTTTTTTAAAAAAAGGTTAGTTTTCTAAAATCTTGTCATCTAGTATAACTGGATTTTTTTAAAAAATAATATCCTTATGATTTGTTCATTAGTGAGGTATGATTCAAATAAACATATTTCAGACATTCAGAAGAATCACAATTTTGGGGAGGAGTGAGGGCACATCTGCAGCAAACCATCATGATTTGGAAGTAAATTTCATCAAAAAAAAGTTCTATACAGATAGTTCTCAACTTATAACTATTCTTTAAATATTCATTCGGTTACAACAGCACTAAAAAAATGATTTATGACTGGTTTTCACACTTATGATTGACTGTTGCAGCATTCCCATGGTCATGTGACCAAAATTTGTATGCTTGGCAACTAGCTGTATTTATGACACTTGTATTGTCTCAGGGTCATGTGATCATGTTTCCAGCTGGCTTCCGACAAGCAAAGTCAATGGGGGAAGCCAGATTCACTTATCAAACTAGGATTCACTTAACAACTATAGCAGAAAAGGTTGTAAAATGGGGCAAAACTTACTTAACTATCTTGTTTAGCAATGGAAATTTTGGGGTCAATTATGGTGGTAAGTTGAGGACTACCTGCATTTGAGTAAGCAGGTTTATCATTGCAGGTAGCCCTTCGTGAATGACCATTTGAATTTACAGTGGATCCTTATAATTGCAGCAACTGCCATTTCCCCATGATCATGTGATCGCAAATCAGGCAACCAGCTCACAATTAAGACATTGCAGTGCCCTGCAGTCACATGATCATCCTCTGCAAATCTTTACTGCTGGCTTCCGAAAAATGAAATGGGGAGGTTGGCAGGTCATAAACAATGATCACTTGACTAGGAAGCTGCAATCACCCAGGATTCGTCAGATGGCAACTAAAACAGCTGGCATCATTAAGTTGGGGCGGTCACATGATGTCACACTTTGTGACTACATCTCTTAATGACAGAGTCGAAGGTCCCAAGTGCTATAATTAAATGAGGACCACCTATACACAAATACTGCTAAGTTTAAATGATGTGGCAAAAAATCTTGACCTTTTTTTCTTAATTACAGATAGAAGTATTTTGAAGTTTGGAACACTTGTCAGCACATCAAATAGTTATGACGAAACTGGGATAGTGACCATTGAAACTGACAAGCCTTTGCTTTGGACAATGGGAATTAAAGATAAAGGAGATGTTTGAAAGATTATCACCCTACTTAGTTCAACTTGAAATTCAAAAATGAAATTTTCTGGAATCTCACCCACTAGGAAACTGAGAATTTTATTCTGCAATTATTTCATTGTGCTTTTATAAAAATTCAACATTTTTGTTTTTAAAGTTTTTAGTTTTTAAAATGAAGCTTCAATCTATTGAATGCCATAGATTTTATGATATTTTTTTGAAGCAAAGCTGCATTTATGTTTTTAGAACCTGAAATTGAATGTATTTTTAAATTACTCTGTAACCAATGCATAGAAAAGCTGCTTTAAGACATGTAAGATGGGTAATCAAAAGTAGATATATGCAACATTCCATGCTGTATTCTAGCTGTTGCTTTTATGCTCAAACTCTTTAGCAAAACTTTGCTACTGGTTAAGAATAAGCAGTGCCTCTTATTAGTTATGACTAATTAATACCCATATAATATGTTACTGTGACTAAAAAAAATGCATGCAAAATTAGTCTAGAAAATGCAATACAAATCAAATATTGCATGGGAGTAGAAACATCCATACTCCCCTGCAGCCCTCAACACACACCTGTGCATAAGCATAAAGCCTGGCTTCACTCACTCTGCTCTATCAGAGATCTTCTATCTTTTATCCACTGCATGGAAAAGTACTCAGTAAATTCTACTCCCATTAATAGAGCAGTAATTTTTATCTCCCACTTATTGGTCAAATAGTGACCAGTAGCTGGGGTTTATTTATGACGTAGAGGACACATAAATAAATGGCCCACAACAATAACTTATTTTGTTTACATTAAAACATAGGAAAGATATAAAGAAACTGTTATTTGTTTGCTTTAAAACAACATAAGAAAAATATAGTGAAACTGTTATTTTGCTTGCATTAAAACATAGGAAAAAAAGATATAGTGAAATTATTTGTTTGCTTGCATTAAAATGACATAGGAAAGAAATTGTGTGACAGTATCGACAGAACAGGAAATGAGTTTGTATGTATAGTGTCTAATATGTGCACTTTATCTCCTGATCCCATGGCAGCTAAGTATCACATAGGTCTCTGCAAATAAAATTAAATCAGAATGAATTCTACAATGTAAGCAGTATTAATTATATTTTATCTTGGCTCTATTCTTACAAATGTTGTTCCTTAAAGCTTGCCAAAATGTAATGGAATTAGTTCTTTTGGAAAGCAATGTCAATTAATACATTGTAAATAAGACCTACGATTGCCTTAATAAAGATATAATTTAAAATATATTTGATAGTTACGTTTTTGCTTTTAACAACATGGGGAGCAAAATATACGTATTTTTTTCAACGTAAAGACTGATAGAATTTGGGCATCTTCAGTGATAATCCAAGGTAGGGACATATAAGAAAGTCAACTGGTCAATGCTGTTTACAGCACTTATGTTTTCCCAACATCCAAGAAGAAATGGAATACTTCCTAAGTTATCTGTTCTTTCCTAAAAGCTCGCATCAGCTAGTTTAATTTTCAAGTATTGGTTGGTTAGGTATTTATGTATTTGCAAATAGAATATCACACACATTTTATTTTAAAATCTGGTTTATATTGACAAGTTATGAGGAAGATCTACAGACAATTAAGTCAGAAAGTCCACATTGATCTGTTATTTTACCATGCACAAAGTAATGTCTTCCTGATTTGTTTAGCCACCGCTGCAAAAAGAAAAAAACAGGACATCAATTGAGACATTGCTACATGATAAGTCAACATTATGTAATTATCTTTCAAGAAACATAATTATTTTTTTAAAATTAACAAGTTCAGTGAAAAAATAAAAATGTATTTATATAAAAATATGTAATAAACAGCATATCAATCAGTAATGAATCTAAGATGCTGGATTAGTTCATAAGTAGTAAGCTATACACCAAAAGATCTAATTAACGTTCTAAAGACTGTATACTATGTTATGAAAGATGCTTACCTGGAAAATAGATCTAACTGACTAAAACTAAATTTCAATTAAAATGATACTTTGCATCTTAATCAGAAAAAACTATCTGAAATTTGTTTTTTTGTTTTTTAAATAAAATCTTGCAGGGAGGCTACTGCATGCACTTTCATGTCCTCTCTCGATTCAGCAGAAAGATAGAGAAGAAATTAGTAGTCAAAGCTCAACCATGCCAGGTAACCCAATATCAGAAGTTGCTTTTACATCTAGTCTCTCGTTCATTGCTAACATAGCTCACCATCAAAACAGTCAGTCCCACATACTAACAAAATATCCTACCGAAATAGATAATTTATGTCAGTGGTGGCGAACCTATGGCACGGGTGCCAGAGGCGGCACTCAGAGCCCTCTTTGTGGGCACGCGCGTCGTTGCCCCAGTCCTAGGCCTTCAGCTGGGTTTTATAAAACCTTTTCGCTTTAGGCCTCCACCACCATGTGCAAAAAAAAAAAAAGGTTCAATCAGTCAATTTCAACTTCTCGTGGGGGGGAAAAAGTTCTTGCAAAGTTGGAATTGATTGATTGAACTTTTTAGTCCCACCCAGTCTGCCATTACCACGGCAGCCATGCCCACCCAATTGGCCACACCCAGCCAATGGGCCACACCCACCCGGCACTCGACGATGCATAAGTGGGTTTTGAGTTGCAGTTTGGGCACTCAGTCTCTAAAAGGTTCGCCATCACTGATTTATGTAGTCCAAAATAAAATATATCAAATTATTCCACAAATAAAACAATTTTTGCTGCAGAAATAATTTATTACAACTGTAAGGCAGGACACACATTGTAACAGATATTCCACTGATGCACAGGTAGAGATCCTAGAAGATCACCTGATTAACCTATTGTATGTGTAATGTACAAATATAGAAATGGCTTATGGATTCAATTATAAAAATAAGGGACTTACTGTATATCACTGAATAAATTAACCACTTCTATTACTAAGATTACAAAAATGGTCACTAATAGTTGTCTGCCTAAGAAATGCCCCTTTCCAAAGGAACTGCTTTGTTCAGAAAACACAGTGGTATCTTAGTACAGGTAATCCCCAAGTTACAAACGTTCATTAAGCCCCCATTTGAGGTTACCTGATAAGCACCCCCTAGTGTTTATGAAAAAGTCCTGAAATTACAAATGTTGCAGCACCACAGTAGTTGTTAGCCCTTACAAACGACTGCAGAGGCTCTGCAACATTCATCCTATCCCCCCCCCCCCAGCTCCTAAAAATGTTTCCCCCTACCATTCTGCCATGCCAGACTCACCTACCTTGCAAAGATCCGTCTCCACTCTGCCGCGTTTTTTTGCCTTTCAGGGAGAGGAAATCAGCTTGGAAATGCTTTTTGCACCGAGAGTGAAAGGTTCTGGGAGCCGTAATCTTGCTTCTGCAGAGAATGGGTATCGGAAGTCACACGGGATTACAGCCCCCAGAACATTTCTCTCCCGACGCAAAAAGCATTTGCAAGCTGATTGCGTTGTTCCCAATGTCCAGCCAGCTTGCAAATGCTTTTGCGCCAGGAGTGAAATTTTCTGGGGGCCGTAATCTCACATGACTTCAGGCCGCAAGATTATGGCCCCCAAATGCTTCCCATCTCCAGCAATTTCGCTGACTCAAAGCTTCCCGTCAGCTTGCAAACATTTTGTGCGCGGAGTTTCTGAGCACTGTGATCTTGTGTGGCAGAGAGACTGGAGAGGAGACAGCTGAAGAGGAGACAGCCCACTAGATCTTCAAAGGTAAGTGACCTGGCGTGGCAGGATGGGGGGGGGGGGGGCGAACAATTGCATGAGGTATGTCAGTGGGTCAGGGGAAGCCATGGGAGGTCTTAAGCAGGTGGCCTGTTCCCTCACTAGGCCCCCGATGGCCTTCCCCACCCTGAGATACCTCATGGGCACTTAATGACCCAGGCATTCAATTAGTGAATGCATTGGCAAAAGCAGGGAGTGATGGTGTTCAAGGTACGCCATTCATTGCTAAGAATCCTCAAGTTACATTCGTAATTTGAGGATTACCTGTAGTGGTAACAAATTTATTTCAAAATGTTTTTGAATACATTTACACATTAAATGTAAGCAAAAAAGACAGCAGCAAATAGTTTTGATTGTGGCTTTTAATAACATGACACTCCACTTTCTGTGTAAGAATCAGAGGCAACACTAGATGCCCTGAACTGCTGCTATCAATACAGAAAGCTAATTAAATACTGTAATCCTGATGTGAGGAAACATCTTGTTGTTTCATGTAAGTTTTCTTGATGTTATTCACAATTTGATGGTACTATTACATTTAGCTCTTACTTTGGAGTTCAAATGCATTAATAATATGAAATTGTTTTTCTAATTAAAGTTGATCAAGCTGTTATGATTCCACTTCTTTATACTCTTGAGATATCCCAGTTATGGCATATGTCACAGAATATTGTCTAGCTTTATGAATTAATTCAAAAGGCAATGAGTCAATTTACTCATTGCAATTTGTCATTCTGTTTATAAAATCAATGCTAATATTCAATCTTTTACTTGAGTGGCGTTATTAAATAACTTGAGAGAGAAAGCCTTTTCATAATAGTGTCCTGCCTTAGAAATGCCCCTTTCTAAAGGAACTATTTTGTTCAGGAAACCAGTAAGAGTATAGTGGTATCTCAGCACTATTAACGTGCTATTAATGTCTCATTTTTAAAAAGTACCATATTATTTAATTTCTGTACTTAATTTCTTTATAACACTTTAGCGTTTTTTAAATAGCAAATTATCATAGAAATATTCTAAGTAAATGCATGTGTCATAGACTATTTTCTTGTCACATACAAGATTTTCAGATAGTACTAAAGAGGGAAGAGGATATTAGGAACTATCATGAACTTTTTGTCAGATCTTTTTCTACAAACAGCATTTAACACATTTACTTACACAATAATATTGTTGATTGGAATGTGGATCAATTTTACGAAGAAACCAATAAATCCCATTATTGCAAAACCTATTGCTGTTGCCATGGCAATCTTCTGGAATTCTGTAATTTAAAATTACATATATTTATCCAATTTCTGAGCCACTGTTCTCCAAAAATGATAATGGGCAGCTTTATAAAAAAAATTAAAGCACCATGATATTTAAAAATACATACTTGCTTCAAAAGAACACTTTAAAAATACCTCCAACTGAGAAGAACCCACTAGGTGCCCTAAGGCCTGAGGGAATAACCACATTTTTAGGTTCTTTTGAATGTGGAAAGGCTAGGGCCAAATGAATGGAGGTGCTCCAAAAAAGAGGGTCACTTCCTGGGTCACACTAGATTATTGCTTAATTGACAGGACTTGAAGTCAATTAAGTCATACATAACAGACAGGTATTACAGGATATTACATTATTTTCTAAAGTGTTTAGAATAGTGGAATTAGTGGTAATTTTTTTTAGAACATAGAACAATAGAGTTGGACTTTGGAGGTCTTCTAGTCCAAATTCCTCAAGCAGGGGAAACTATACGATTTCAAATAAATGAGGATCCAGCTTTTTTTGAAAGCCTCCAGTGATGGAGCACCCACAACCTCTGATAGCAAGATGTTCCATTAGTTGATTGCTCTCACCGTTAGGAAATTTCTCCTTAATTCCAGGTTGCTTCTCTCCTTGGTTAGTTTCCATCCATTGTTTCTTCTCTTGCCTTTTAGCGCTTTGGAAAATAGTTTGAACCCCCCCCCCCCCATATCTTTGTAGGAGCCCCTCAAATCTTGCAACACCACTATCATGTCTCCTGTAGTCATTCTTTTCATTAGACTAGACACACCCAATTCCTGTAACCATTATTCGTTATTCCAGCTCTTTAATTATTTTTGTTCTTCTCTGCACTCTTTTCAGAGTCTCAACATCTTTTTTATATTGTGGTGATCAGAATTGGATGCAGTATTCCAAGTGTGGTCTTACTAAGGCTTTGTAAAGTGGTACTAGAACTTAACGTGATCTTGACTCTATCTCTCTATTAAAGCAGCCTAGGATTGCATTGGCTTTTTTGGCTGCTGTCAAAAAATGAAGGAAGAGCAATCAGATACCAAATCAGACTTCATTAATTCCTGAGTGTTTTCTAGACTCAGCATTTGTGATAACTATCTTCTCTAAGCCTAAGAAAAAAGTCAATTTTTCACTTAGAAAAAAGTATGCTCACTACTAATGAAGCTAGTATACATAATTCTAGGCTCCAGTTCAAATCACTCTGCTCACTTTACCAAAGAAATCCCCTTGTAGCCCCTATTTCAAAAATTTACCTCTTGGACAACTGTTAAAATAAGAGCTCAACAAAGCTTCAGTAGCTTTTTAAAATGCAACTTGCATTTTAATATCTCCTCTAGAAATCCTTTGGATACTTCACAAATGAAACACTTAATGATATACTAGAGAAGTGTTTTTAAAACTTTTTTCTATCATACTATTAAAAATTATGAAGGATCCCAAAGGTGTTGTTTGTATGGGTTATGTTTATTGACATTTACCTTATTAAAAATTAAATTAACACATTTGCTGCCACTACTGTTCACGATTGACAGAATTTTAATATTGCATTATTTTTTAAAATAATTTTAATTTTGAAGTCCTCCAAGAGTATCTTGGTGACCATACTTTAAGAACACGGTGGAGTATAATAGTATATATTTTAGATTTGTTGACTGTTCACCAGTTTATTGTTTATATGAGTTCTTAATCTGTATTATTTTTATTACCTTTAATTTGTACTATTATTTGTAGTACTTTTACTTTCATTCATTTAAAATATATCATTATTAGAATGAAAATATGGGATTTGACACAGAAACCTAACATGAATCCCCTGCAATTATAGACATAAGTTAGTTTCTTGCACTTTATATTACCATAGATTTATTTTGCCCTTCTTTCTTCTTGATTACTTTACCTTTTCTATCTGGTTTTGTGCATCTTTTAACAAGTCTGATGGAATCTTTCACAAACTGGCGGCTGGGCTCTACAAATTGCATTACTTGATCCATGATGAACTGAAAAACCAAAAACAAATTAACTTTCAAAAATAAATGGAAGCAAAGATAAATTTTTAACAAATAGTATTTCTGATACTATTGATCTATGTAGAAAACTTAAAGCTATTGCCCATGGTTACTCTTTCATAGGCTATTAATCATAAAATTAAATCTGGAAATATTCCAGAGGTAACTTATCTCATTTGACTAAATATGTCTAAATGCTGAGTGATCAGTATAAGCAAAAAACATATTCTACCAAACTGAACACATTGCCACAGACTGTGATCCTGATTTACAAATTAGTGTATCAACTACTCCACTAGCTACTGGCCAATCAGTAGTTAGTTAGCAGTTAGTATTAGGAAACTATACTAGTCATCTGCTGGACTGATACCATTCGAGTGTGCTTCAAAGTTTATATATACATTTTTAATCTACAATAAATAAGTACAAGAGTTCAATGTATATATAACATACCAAATGCTACCAGGATTCATTTCAGATTTGCTTGCCTTTCCATAAATGGGAGTGATCTGGTTCCACTTTTTTGTAAACTACGTAATAGGTAAACTGACCTGTTTTTATAGTCATCAGTTTTTATAGGAAAAGAAAAAGGGAAGCAAGGCATTCTGCGCATATACAGACTGGTTTTCTTTTGCTTTCGGTTATTTTCTCGAACTCTGTTTGGTACAAAACGGCATTATATTCGTTGGGGCTTTATAGATACAAGTGCTTGTTTTAAATTAAAATTACCAGTAATTCATGAAACACATAAAACTGTAGAAGTATATGCAGCTTACATACCCGTAAAGAGAGAACAGAATAGTGTGAAAAATCGTCCTCTGGGGTTAATTTAAGAAAAACAATTACACGTTTAATATGGCCTTGAAAAAGCGACAGGTCTGAAGTCAGGAGAGCTAAAATACTCTGCAACCAGCCAGAAGAGGAAAGCGCTGTGCTTTAACTAACTCTTGGCATTGAAAACGCGAAGGCCTCATTATTTCTCTTTTTCGCCAACAATCCGAAGAAAACACAGAACAAAATCAGAATTACCCGTAATTACTTATACTCACAATTCTGGAGACACAGTCGTTACGCTCAGACGCTGCCACCAAACGAGGCCTCTTAAGACACGTAGCAACTCCGGCGAAGAGAACGCGGAACCGGAAGAGACGCCTGCGCAAGAAGTGCACACTTCCGAGTTTCAACTGCGCCACGTGGGTCTCTTTCTACGTATGTCGTGTGTATCTGATGAATGAAAGTCGTCAACGAGACTGCATTTCAAGCAAGGTTACGCGTATTCTTTTCAACAATAAAACTCCAAATTTTCGAATTGTGCCTTTCACAATTTCGAACTACGAAGAAGTTCAGGATGTGTTAGAAAAAGGATACGGGTTTGTTTGCTTGTTCATTTATTTATTTATATCCCACCTTTATCATTTTTATAAATAACTCAAAGTGGCGAACATACCTAATACTACTTCCTCCTCCTATTTTCTCCACAGTAAGATCTCTGCTAGGTAGGTTGGAGAGAGAGTGACTCGCCCAAGGTCACCCAGCTGGCTTTCATGCCTAATGGACTAGAATTCATCGTTTCTAGCCTGGTGCCTTCTAGTTCAGGGCTTTTCAACCTTTTCAGAGATTGTACAACTTTTAGAACATGACAATATTTCAGTAACACCAGTGTTTAGCAAGGTGTCAAAAACTTGATGACTAAAAAAAGGGGGGGGATTTGGGGTTTTACTGATTAGATTCATTTGTTGTTATAGAAATGGCTAGTTTATAATATGGAAAAGTAAAAAGTTGAGGTTCAATGTTAATGCTTCATTTATTGCAATAGAGGAAGTCTGTTCTTTTTCCCTTCTCCCCCTCACTTTTTCCTCCTCAATGTGTCCTATTTCCTTTTGTATTTTTGTATTTTATTCTATAATAAAATATTACAAACTGTAGAAAAAAAAGGAAAAAAGTACAAGTTTTAATTTCTTCAATGGCTGTTCCTTTGCTGAATCACTTTCCCTTTGCACTGACAAATGTATGATGAATTTATCCATGTTTATTAATATGCATCACTACCAGCCAGCTCAGGGGTCTTCAAACTTGGCACTTTTAAGACTTGTGGACTTCAACTCCCAGAATTCCTCAGCCATCATGGCTGGTTGAGGAATTCTGGGAGTTGAAGTCCACAGGTCTTAAAAGTTGCTAAGTTTGTAGACCCCTGAGCTAGCTGGTTGGCCCTTCTTCCTCTCTCCCTTCTGAGCTCTCCCTCCACAGTGTAGTAAGAATGCACCGCCCCAATCCCTTCCCTGTACCCTTAAAGTCACAGGAATCAAGTGCAAAGCAAGAAAGGCTCACAAAATAAAGAAACACATAAACTCCGGTTTTTTCCCTTTAAGCTGCCTCAGGTGTGCCACAATGTTGCACTGAGATTGAAAGGCTCCGACAATTGCCAAAAGCTTTAGCTTTAAATTAAGCCTGTTTATCTTCAAAGAAAACTTTCTAAAAGCCATAGACAGACTCAAGATAAGGGGGTAAAGCTAACTACATTTGTTTAAAGGGATTAAACCTACAGAAGTCAACACTTTGGACTCATTGCTAGACTAAAATATTCCAAAAACCAAAGCACACAAACTGAGCATCTGAATTATAAGTAAAAACTGTACAAAAATCCTTATGGTGACCCAATCAAGCTGCCAGCTGATCCAGTACTAAATAAACCCACCTCTTTTCCAACATGCCAGCTTTTCATTTCATCAGCACTGATTGCATTCTCCTGGCTGGAGAAAACGAACCAAGGAACCTTTTCTTCCAGCAACAGCTGCTGCTTCTTCTCTTTCCCTGTTTCCTTCCTGCTTGCTGACCTCTCCTTCTCTTTCCCTGTTGTCTTTTTTTTCCCTTTCCCGCCCAAACCACCTCCTTTTATAGTCTCTCCTTTCCTCCCCCCTTTTTTTTTCTTCAATTCACCTCCAGCTCACACTGCTTCCGGAATGCCAATCAGCTGGAGCCCTGCCGGCTCCTGGGGCTTCTGCCAAGCCCAGACAGTCCTGCAGTTGCAGCTGCCTCTCCCTCAGGCTTGGGTCGCTTTGGCTCATTCCCCTCCCCTCCTACACTTGGCTAGCAGTCATGTACCACCTGCCATGTTGCAAAGTACCACAGATGGTACGCATACCACCGGTTGAAAAGCTCTGTTCTAGTCCAACACACCCACATATATACCGAAGCACTAAAAATGCAACCTCAGCATTGATATGGTAATGAAAACAGAAAGCAAAGAGAGAGAAAAGAATGACTTATAAGATTTAATCGGGTCTTAAGAATTAAACCATTCTTCCTTATCCCTTCACTGGGGAAAAATAAGCAATTTTGAGAGTGAATTAAGTCAGTCACAGTTCACAATAGTAAACTAGAATATTAAAAAATGTAAACTATGCAATAACTAAGAAGACAATTAAAGATCTGAATTCAAAACACAATACCTCAGATTTAATCCATTTTCTTTTTTGCTGCAATATTCATTCACAGAAGTAAACCAATGTGACTCAGAGATTATCTGTGAAATTAATGAAGCTCAGAGATCAGTAATTTTGCTAAGAAACACTCAAATGTTTGGGGGAGCCCTCTCTGAGGCCAAGGCCAGTCCTGTCTGAGGGGCGCGGAACGGTGAGGGAGGAGACTGGGGGGTTAATAGAGGGTGGTGTGATTAGTACGGTCAGTGGGAGGGGCAGATATGGTGGGAGCAGAGGACCATATCGGGTTTTGGGAGCACGCACACGCTGCTTACAAGCTTGTGGGTGCTCCGATCCTCAGGGCTCTACTCGGCCTCCAGGGACTTTAGATCCTCGGGCCCGGGATCATCGGCTGATGTTATGCAACGCCAGGTCCGTGGTAAATAAGGCCCCCCTCATTCAAGAGCTCATTCAAGAGGGGGGAG